TCTTTCTTTCTTTCTTTCTTTCAATGAGTTGTTTGACTATTTATTAATTTATTGGTTGAATGTAGTAACGTATTTTGCAATATTTACATTTCATTCACGTGAGATCCAATAAAAAAAAACATCTTCCAGCAAACAGAAACGTTTTAATTGTTTTTATTCTCATTGCATCAACAAACACAATGCAAATAATAATTATTTTTTATTATTGCATATATGCATTTCTAAATATCAGCAAAGATCACACACTGAAATGTTTGAAGTTTTTCCAACTTCAGATCAGTCCATCAGATTAAGAAAGAGTTTTTTTAGTTGGTTGACTTTCTGCACATTGAGTATGTTTTCTTTACTGTGTAACATGGAGATACTTTGTTGAAACGATTAACTATAAAAGATAATGAACATTTTAAAAAAACAACACAAAATGTAAATTTGTTTAAAACCTTTGCTCCTGTAACTAAAGCAAGTTTCTCGTTCAGGCTCCGACACCCACAACATATCTGGGACATTTTCTCTCGTGGGGATTTCAGCTGGGAGTTTGTTCGTACATGCTCTGAACGATGAAGTCAGAAGAGACATCAAGAAATAATACACAACTCAACTTGTGTAAAAAAAACAAACAAACAACAACCTCCCCCTTCCCTCAAGCTGTTCATGACATATTGCATTCACAATAACATGAGGTGACCGTGACCTTTGACCCCCAAATTCTAATCAGTCAATCCTTGAGTTCAACTTAACATTTTTACTAAATTTGAAGAAATTCCCTGAAGCCGTTCTTGAGATATCGTGTTCACAGAAAAGGGACGGATGGACGGACAACCTGAAACGATTCCTCTGTCATTATTATCAATTCACAATCAACAACTAAGAATGTACGATCAGAACTTGTTTGGTGAAACTGTTCGTAGGTTCAGCGACGTCAGTCTCACTCCCATGGGGCTTCGGCTCCGTCAGTCTGGGCGTACACCGACAGTTCCTCATACAGTCCTGCGTCACACCTCTCGATCGCCAAACCCTGAGAGACACAAACATCTTTATAGGACACGAGCCATGGACATATTTTTCTGTAACATTTGCTGAAAGACTGAAATAATTAAAAAAAACATTTTCTTTTGATCTATTTTATTTATAACAACATCAACTGTTGCTGATTTAGTGTTTTATTGTTGTTTAAGCTTAAAATTCTATATGAATGAAATGTATGACAAAAAAGAAATGTCCTTGTCTATAATGAATATACAGAGATGTTCCAACAAACCTCATAGATGTGATCAGTGTCAGGCTCCTCATATATGATGTCCGTCTTCTCTGACTGTTTCAAAACACAGAAAGGAGAAATGAAGTTTGCACTTATCTGCCTAATATCACATTCTATCTATTGTAGCTTTTGTTTCTATCCTATCGTATTTATCTAATAATATATCGTATTCTATCATTGCATCTATCTATAGAATAATTGGTTCAATAATTAAACAGAACCATCCAGCTCGTGTTGAAACAATTAGTCGATCAAGAGAAAATTATCTGAGAACCACTTGGATGTTTGATTAATGATTGAAGCACTGAACACAGCAGTCGTGTCTCACCACCATCTTTCTGCGCAGCATCAGAATAGCGACAGCAGCAGCCAGCAGGAGGCCCTGGAAGATGATGAGAACGTCCTTGATCGTGGTCCGTTGCAGTGCCTGGGAAACGTCTGTGACCTCTGAGGGAAAAAAGGTGACTTGTTTTAAAAAGCCTTTCCTATTAGTCTGTACCAGACCATCAGTTCTCCCGGCTACTCACTGATGGCGAGAACTTGAGTTCCAGACCCCCACGTGTCGTTTATCTTGCAGAAGTACAGTCCGTTGTCCTGTGCTTTCACCTTCTCGATGTAGAGAAGGGAGTTTTTGGTTTGATTCCGGTCATGGAATTGAAACCTTGCTCCCTTTACCTCGGATCTGTCTTTAGGATCCCCGTCGTGTGTATCGGCCTTGTACCAGTGCACGGTGGCTGGCAGAGGTGGCTTTGAGGAACAGTAAATTCCTACGTTGCGGTTGAATTTTACACCGTAGAACCGGGGCATCTGGGTAACCTGGTGGTTTAGAGCCGCTGAGCAAACAGAAGTCGATGGCAGTTACTGTAAATCTGTTTCGATCAAGAGTATACATGCAAACCTCCGCCAACCAGTGGACCAAAACCTTTTGTTTTTAAAAAGATGTCAATCTTTGAGGTTACAGCTTCTTGAGTGTGAGTCTGATTTAAACACAAATAAGGGATTCTTGCAAATTAAATCTGAAATAACAAGAAGAAAATCAATTTATCAACATGACAATAATATTACAGTCTATTCTGTAACTTCGTCTTTTGGGTTAAAGCTGTGAAAGACTAATCGTTGGTTTGTTTGTAACCAAGACTACGCAAAAAGTACTGGATGGAATACCTCAAAGCATGGTGGTGGAATGCCATATAGGTTTCGTTGATTTCTCCGAGAATAATTCATCCATCTTGATGACGGAAATCAGACGTGTTCAGGAGACTTATTAATTTGGTGCAGAACCAAATAAAAGGAATCTGCTCTGCGTGTCATACGGCTGTTTTTAAAGTTTGCAGCGTTTCAACACTTGTTAGAATCGTATCTCTTATTCCTGTTTCTTTCTCTGAAACAATTGAATATAAGAAAATAAATAACTTCATCAACATGACAATATTATTCAGTGTTTCTCTCAGAGGACAACTTCCTCTTTCCCCCATGCAGATGTCCAGGAAGTGATGGTATTGTGCACTCAAAAATAACATGCAAAACGTGTGTGTGTGTGTGTGTGTGTGTGTGTGTAGCTGTGTTAACAGAAATGAAAGACTGCAGTAGCTGTAAAGCTTCATGAAATGTGGATAATTCCACTGCTGTAAAAACATCCACAGTTTCAGTAATGTTGACATTTTTACCAAGACTCTAACTCTCGTTGGCATAATTTTAAATTTTCGGCCTCTAAATAAAATTTCCATTTCAAGATTCGACATTTACCTGAGAGACCGATCAAAGCCATTGCACAGCATCCAGCCAGCAGCCAGCGCATGATGACAGGCGAAAAGAAAAAGATTTCAAACGCTGACGTCCACACGTGTCGAGGTCCCTCCGCAGTCACGAAGAGAAGAAGTGTGAGCCGTCTGTAATCACACTAGTGTCAGGCAAATGAGGGGAAGAGTTGGCAGCACTGAACCAAAAAAAAAAAAAAAAAAAAAACCAGAGCACAACCCACAACATCAGAAACATGTCGAGTTCCATTCACCTACGTTTGCTCCAGTTTTACAGACGATGTGAAGCAAAGTGCTAAAGCATGTCGTTCTCTCTCTCTCTCTATTTGGGATCTTTCAGTTCGAGAGCAGGACATTTTGATTTCATGTTCACATCTTGTGATGCTTTCACTCAACTACCGCAGCGCGAGCACTCCGGTAGTTGCTGCTTGTGCTTGGATTTGCTCTGCTTGTGCTCACACCGTGCACTTGCACTCAGAAGTTTTGGCGCTTGTACTCGGACTTCCTGCGCTCCAGCCTCAGCTCCCCTCACCTTCGCTCCCGTGCTGCTTGTGTGCAGCTTGTGTTGTTTTCTATTTTGCCGTTGTGTTTTGTGATTTCTTATTTTTTTTATTTTTGAAGTTCAGATATTTGTTGGTATCTGAACTTCAGAGCCACCGTTAAAACTTCAACTCTGCAGTGCAGCGTGTTTGTCGTGCGACCACCAGGGGGCGTCAGTGCACCACTGTAGCTCCACAGACGACACATGTCAACATGAGCTCCTACATTTCCCTACAAGAACTTTATTCTAACAACATTGTTACAACTTTTTACAATAACAAAATGATATAAATAAACATTACAGGAGAACAGAGTGTATATACAGGCAACACTGACTGTGGGTGTAGCAGTAACGACTTCCCCTCCATTAGAAATGTAAACAAAAGGAGGACACCACCTTGTGAATATGAGTGTACCATCAGGTAAGACGACGGCTAAGTGGTGCAGCAGCGCGTCAGACTGAAACAGGATTGCCGCAGGTCACTTCAGACTTCCCGACAGGAATAACCGCCGTGCTGCGACCGCAGGATAAGACAAAGAGACCCCTCACAGAGGACACGTTAGATTTTACTTTCTTCCTCCAGGGCTGGATGTTAAAACAGTGCTGAACAAGAGAAGAGGCCGTCTTCTACAGTCTACTGTAAAAAATAAAGAAAAAAAACTAGAAAAAGTGCTTATGCTATTTATGTTCAGAGTAAGACATTTTAAATTCAGTTAAGACTTACGAAACAGCAAGTGAAGCAACCTTTCTATGTGAGGACAGGATCAATAGATCCACAGTTCATCAATAAATAATAGTTTATAATTATCTATATAAACTTTTAAATTCCTGTGGGGCTGGGCTTGAGAAATTCAATTAAGATCGAGCCAAACGACAGAGTCCACACTCGGTATGACCTGAGGCAAAACTCCCATTTGAAGCAGCAATTTACCAAAGGACTCATGTGTTGTCGCCAGAATTATTCTTGCTTAATAGACAATAACAGAGGTTAGTGGTTGTGTCCTGCAGCCAAACATCACAGAGAGTTTTTTTTAAACCCTGAATGCTGACGTGGAAACAAGTGACTGACTCCTTCACAGAAAAACCAAACAGTTTTATAAGACATGCATATATCAGTGATGAAATCATCTTAGGAAACAGGAAGGTCTCTCAGTCTCACGTAGTCAACTGCTCTAACTTGACCTGGAAGGGGTATAAATAGTGCAATATAAACTGGGCCTTCTGAGCGAGCCAGTCAGGGACACGTGTTAAGAGCATTAGCCGGCTCGTGTTAATGTTAACTAACAGTGATTATTCAGAAATCAGGGTTTCACCGGTGGACTGGGACCAATCTGATCCAGATGTGCTCAATGTTCACGCAGCTGAAGGAGGTTTTCAGCTCTGTTTTTTCCTGTGAGATTTTGTGGAGAGGTGGGACATGAGCCAAGGAAGAAATCATTATGTTTTGTTGCAGATCAACTTCAGGGAGCGGATACAGGATTTATTTTTCTTTTTTAAATAGTACTTTAATATCGCAGGATCGGGCACTATTCCACATTTTTGTCATTTTGTCAGAGAATAATTCATGGATCTAGATTAAAAAATTAATCAAATCAAGCAGATTTAGGGCACCGATGTTTATGAGTGTGGGAAATTAAAAATACATCTGGTTCTAGTATATTTAAAAGTGTCGTCATAAGGGGACTGATGGGCAGAGGTATGAGCTACTTCTCGTAAATATATTCCACATCTGCAGAGAACTGATTCCACCTCAGAGAATCATTTAGAGTCTTAACTGAAATAATTTGCACGTCGAGCCGTCACGCTGACGAGATTCCACATTAAAGTGACTTAGAGTGAGCAGGAGTAGGAAATTCATTTTTTAACAATTAAAATTAATTAACATTATTAGCGAGGAAAACTGGACGATGTGAATGTGGCTCTCATGATTAAGTAGTTTCATTTCAGAGGAGAAAAGTTTTTTTTTCTGCTTGTCCAAAATGTTTATGACGTCAAGCGAAACATTTTCAAGCCAAAAAGACAATTAAATGCTGCACGAAAACAATTAAAGAATTGTTTGTTGGGTTAAAAACATGGCTCCGTGTCAACACTTCGTCTAATGTGGAAAATGTGCATCTCAACGAGACTTAACGAAAAGCTGGTAAAAAAAAAAAAAACAGTGCTGTTTGTTATACTATCGACTCTCTCAGGTTTGCGTCTACAGTGAAGAGGTGTCGGTTGGGTGCAGAATGTAATAAAACCTCATTAGTAATTTCTACGGGTACAACTATGACATTTGGCTCAGGGGGTTCGGGACCACACTGGGCCCCTGTGTGATATGACATCGTCTCAGGATTGTGAGGCTCTTGGTTTGCCAGAGTCTCCAAAGCGGCCTGCTCCATCTCTTCCGCCAGGTCCGCATTGCTCCCATAGAGCACTCCCAACTTCCGTGCAAGCAGCCCCTCTCTTTCCGGTGGATCTTCACTTCCATCCTTTTTGCCCAACCTTTTAGAGCGGTGCAAGAAAGCAGCGTGGCGTATGCAGCGTTTGAGCAGGTGGTTGCGGTAAACCCTCTGAATGACCACAGCAGCCATCTGCTCTTCCTTGTGGCGCACTGTTGTGGTAATCGGTGCAAAGGAGTCTGATGTGGGGTTGCTCAGGATAAATTTCGCCTCTATGCTCTCCTTCATTGCCGCCATCTCCACTGTGTCTCCCAGGACTATCTTTGTGACGGCCAGCAAGACATCCAGGCAGTGGATCCTGTCCCCGATGACCAGCGGCAGGTCCATTTCAATCAGGCGAAGCCGGTTGGGCTTGGCCACCCTCAGCGGCTCCTGCAAGGTGTCACAAAAATCTGAGAGCCTGCTGTACTCAATGAACTGAGTCCCTTCTAAGTCAAACTTTTCCCACGTCTCATTGAACATATCGAAGTCTTCCTCACAGAGCGGGTCACCGCTCTCCTCCTGCGCCACGTTGAAGTTCTCCAAGATGATGGCGATGTACATGTTGACCACCACCAAGAAGGAGACGATGATGTAGCCGCAGAAGAAAATCATGCTCATGCCCGGGTTCCCACAGTTACCCTTTACGTCCGTTCCCGGGTTCTCAAAGTTTGGATCACAGTCTGGAAAGTTACTGTTCAGCATCGGGAGCAAAAGCCCATCCCAGCCCGCCGACGTCGTGATCTCAAACAGGCAGATGATGCTACCGCCAAACGTCTCAAAGTTAAAAATGTCATCGATCCCAGCCTGCTTCTTGACATAGGCAAAGTTTGACATTCCAAATATGGAGAATATGAACATGATGAGGAAGAGCAGGAGACCAATGTTGAAGAGAGCAGGAAGTGACATCATCAGAGCAAAGAGAAGCGTTCGGATGCCCTTAGCTCCTTTAATAAGACGCAGAATCCTGCCTATTCTGGCCAGTCTGATCACTCTGAACAGAGTGGGTGACACAAAGTACTTCTCAATGATGTCTGAGAGCATCGTGCCTGAAAAAAACCAAACAGACGACAATCAGAGAAGAATGCTGGAAACATTTCAGTTAACACGGAAGGAGTCTAGGATATTAACATTTTCACGATATTGTTATTTTTTGGAGATGCATCTGTATTTCAAAACTGTGCTCCTGATGCACTAGGTACCCACCAGCTATTGACAAGATGACCACAACAAAATCAAAAACGTTCCATCCGTTGGTGAAGAAGTACTGTCGCAGGGCGAAGAGCTTCAACACACACTCTCCGGTGAAGACGATGATGAACGCCACGTTCACTTTAAAGAGGAAATCCTCCTTCTCTGCGCTCTGGTTGTCCGTCTCCACCATCATGGTCACCATATTGAGGCAGATGAGCACCATGATGAAGATGTCGAAGAACTGCTGACTGATGAAGTCAAACACCACGCCCTGGATTAGGTTCTGCAGGTCAGAGGGAGAGCAGGGTGAGGGGGCGTGGGAAATACAAATCCATAGGGGTCATTTGGCCTGTTCACACCAGCGGCGTGCAGAAGAGGTCAGCGCAGGGGTCGAGGATGACATCATGCTGCCGTGCATACCGAGCTGCTGTGTAATCGCTGTGGTTGGTTACTTTTCAACACCAAACAATGCAGATAATAATTAGTATCTTTGTCAAACTACGTGACACGAATCAATAATCTGACAATGACCGACATTATCATACAGTTGTAAATGAGTGACGTACTGTCGGACGTGGAATCGGCTTCTGTGGCTTCTTTGAACCGAGTTTCTTCATGGCTTCGTAGTATTTCTTTTGTTCCTCAGTCATAAATATGTCTTTATCTCCAAAGTGCAGACACAACACAACAATATTAATTCAGTGACAACTTTTGTGAGTCTTAAATTTAAAAAAAATCACTTCTACGTTAGACTGATTCTTAATTAAGAGTATGATACTTATCTTTTTCTTTTGTTGGTTGAAATTGTCAATAATGACACCGATGAAGAGATTGAGTGTGAAGAAGGCGCCGAAGATGATGAAGATGACAAAGTAGATGTACATGTAGAGGTTGATCTCATAAGACGGCTGCTCCTCCACCTAAATGGAAGAAAACTATTTAATCAATGAAAACATAAGATGAAGCAGCTTTTTTCCTCTTTTAAAAAAAAGTATATCAAGCATAAAAGACGGCTGTGAGACAGAGCGGGGAGGAACTAAACGTCAAACACTGAAACTTGATAAAGGTCAGGAAGGTCACTTGTTGGTCCAGAGTCACTTTACTATCACCATCTGTCACATACAGTATACATTACATATATATTTAATTAAATTAAAGAGCAAGATGGCGTTAAAAAAGGGAAGGGAAGATATATACTGATGGAAAAGCAGCTTCCATTTTTGATATACAATATATTAATTGATACTGTACTTTATCAAATAAATCTTTCTTTTCAAATATTGGTTATTCTACAAAAGAATATATAAAATTATGACTAAGATTTTAGAACATTTTGAAAAACAGGGTGAGTTGTCCTAAATGCAGTTCTAAATAATAATTAATATTAAGTCATATTGTAACGCTTGAAAAACAAAGTTATGAAAAATAATCCAAACGAAAATCCCCTCCCAATCCAAAAGTACACGTGATGTTTCCCTGCTGAAATGTAAATAATCACCTCTCGGGAGTCGACAGCAGCGTACATGATGTCCATCCAACCTTTGAACGTTGCCTGCAAATGCAAAGAACATCTGAAAAAATAATTTCAACCATAAACATCGATTTAAGCTTCATAACTCAACAGCGCCACCTCACCACTTGAAGCAGGGACAGGTAGCCTTTCCCCACGTTGTCGTAGTTGACTTTGACATTGACCCAGCGCGCCTCATGTGTGGCTTCTTCGATGGCCATGCATTCGCTCCTGTTGTTGACCTCTGTGATGAAGAAAAGCTCGTCCGTGGTGGTGTTGATGCAGCGGTAGAACTTGCCGGCGAACAGGTTTACTCCCATGATGCTGAAGATGAGCCAGAAGATCAAACACACCAGAAGGACGTTGAAGATGGAGGGAATCGCCCCAACAAGAGCGTTCACCACCACCTGCCCAACAGAGAGGACTTTGTTAGAATTGACATATATACAACTATTTCCTGATGCGTGGTGATTGTTAGACTGAACAACACACTTGGTGTGAGTCACTTGTCACTAGTCACTTGCTCAATCATAGCTCTTACCTCAGTCAGCTCTGCTAAAGCGGCCGTGGTGTAAGCATGTATTCAACAAACATAACAAGGAAACGCTGGTCATGTTTATTTCTCTAAATCGATGAGTCCATTTACACGTGCCATTAAATGTTTACTAATCATTTACTAAAACAAATATATTGTCTGTGGTCGAGCTCTATCCGGTTGCTATCCAATCACCCAGAATGCATTCAAGTGCAGGTGTAACCGGGGTACATGTTAGCCATGCACATTATTCAAATGTTGGGCATTCCTTACAGATAACTTACCCTCATCCCTTCAAATCTGGACAAGGCTCGGAGAGGCCTTAGTGCCCTGAGGGTTCTGAGGGATTTGATTGGTCCAAGGTCAGAGAAGCCCAGCCAGTTGGCAACTAAACTAATCAGGGAAATCTGGGGCAGAATCAAAACATTTCCTATTCAAGTGTTACCACCAACGTTATCTGATGTAAACCATGTCTGTATGCATGTTCTGTTCAAAGTTTCAGTGTTAAAAGAAGACATCAAAACTTACATCTACAATGAAAAAGTCTAACCAGCACCAGGCGTTGGTGAAGTAGGTCTTGAAGCCATATGCCACCCATTTAAGGAGCATCTCGATGACAAAGATGTAGGTGAAAACTTTGTCAGCAAACTCCAGAATAATTTTGATGGTTCTGCGTCTCTCTATGTATATGTCTTCAAATGCCTGCCAAAAGACGACATTCAATACACGTCCTAACAGTTTAACAGTATCTTCATACGCTATTATAAAACAGTCTGTTTCTAAATTTGTTGCACTGATGACAGCCACCAACCAGAGCTCCGCTGCTGAGCAGGATCATGAAGATGATGAAGGTTTCAAACCAGTCATGCTCCACAATAGTGAAGCAAGTCCTGCGGAGGTTCCACCATTTCTTGCCTCTACCTTGAGTGATGTCCACAGTCAGACATGGCCAGCGCCTCACACATTCTGGGGGAGGGAGGGTTTAGCATCACTCCAAAACTTAGACTGCAGGAGTATCTACACTGCTGCTATGAAAACAAGCCTAGTTGTCCTAGTTGGTTTACAGGTTTTCCATACCGTCAGTGAAGCAGGCCTCTGGCTCCACTGGTTCAGGCTCTTCCTCTTCCACCTCTTCTGGCTCAGGCTCAGGTGGTTGATAGTCCACTGTGCTGCATATTGAAGAATCGCCGTCAAACAACGCCCCCATCAGCTGGACAAGAATCACAAAAGCAGTTGATTAACAAAGACGGCTTGTGAGACAAATTCATGATTCTCCCCCACGCCCATTTATTTTGAGTAGAACCCACATACAGCAATCATCTTCACAGGCGTAAACCTGTAGCCCTGGATAAATATTTTAAAGTGTTGTGTATGTTGATGAATTTCATTCGCAGAGTTACTCACTTTGGCATTTCTTGGCATTGTACCTTCATCTCCTGAGTTTTCCTTTAATAGACCAAAACAGACAACTTTCAGTAACCATTCATAGGTAACAAGAGAAACAAGTTTTCTTCCTGTTTATGTGCTTTTCAGTCTGGTCTACAGAGTTTGTCCCTCAGCTACATGTGTGGCGAGCTTGTTAGCTTTATCACAGCTAAAATGAATCATGGGATAAGAGATGGATCCACCAGCTAGCTATAGACAGCTAACTAGAGATAGACAAATGGCTAGATAGCAAGCTAGTTAGCTAAATACATTGTTAGAGACAGATATATAGATGCTTTCTTACTGTGTTCTGTTGGTTGCTCTTTTCATCCAACATCTCTAAGTCAATAGCATCATCAGCATCGTCGTCATCATCTTCATCATCCTCCTCACCCAGGTTTTCAAAGTCCGACTCTCCCTGGGCGATTGGCACATTGAGACTGAGCTCTCCGTCCACAATAACTCCAGAAGACCGGCCTTCAACAAGACAATTAGGTATCCCGTCTGCCATTTTGAAATCCTGACAGGTGTCTAAGTGGTTCATTTCAATTCCTTCCATTTTTGGATCCACGTCATCCGTCGGACCCTCCTCGGGCCCCTTGCGTTTTCTGTCGATAATTTGCTGGACCATTCGTATGACAAACGCTTTGAACCAGTTGATGCCTCGTGTGATCCTGCCGATGGCAATCTGGAGGTTGTTCATCTCCCCGTCTTCGTCTCCCGCTGAGAGGTTGTCTCCACTGAACGAGCTGAGTAGCAAGGCCAGGAAGAGGTTCAACACCTGAGGACAGAACCGCAAGGAGTGAGGAGGGTACAAAGTACATCTGATATCTCAATTTCTACAATTTCTTCTTGTATATGCAGAAAGACAGTTTCAATCTTTGATCAGTTAATGAGATCATCATAACTGTTTTTCCCAGATTAAGAGGGTGTGAAAACATGACAGACTCATATTAACCCCAATTTGTTGTCACTTATCGCTGGGTCAAAGTGTGCCGAGAAAGCTGAACTAAACACAGAAGTGAATACCCGCTCATTGGTCCTGTGATGATGCATCAGTAAATATTTTGTTGTCTGCCTCGTGTTGCAGACGTAGCTATCTTTAGTTTCTTAAACCTGTTGGTCAGTTTCTCGGTTCCTGTTTCCCAGGTTTAGCGGGAGATCATGGTTACAAAGGCTGATCTCTTTCATTGCAAAGCTCGGAGCCGTGAATCAGTAAAGAGGACTGAGGGGAAAAGGATGAGCTGAAGAACACACAAGACCGACAGTAGAGGTAAAAGCTTTTCATGATGGAAAAGCTGCCGCAGAGCCAGAAATATCACTACAGAGATTCCCCCGTTTTAAATTCAGTCTTCTTCAGAGTAGTTCGAGCAAGCCTGAAGGTGTGAAAAGGTTGAACTTAATCTGACATTTTGAGAAATATGCATTTGTTTTCTTGCCAAGAGAGAAGAGCAAATTAAACTCTAAGGAATTTCAACAAAATCTAAAACTTAAGCCCATACAACTTTGCGTTTCCCCTGCTCTCAGTCTTGATGCTAAGCTAAGAGACTGCTGGCTGTAACTTCATATTTAACAGTCTAATATGACAGTGGTGTCGACCAAACTGGGCAAAAAGTAAAAATTATTTAGCAACATTTTAATTTATCGCTTTGAGAAAGAATTCCTCATTTATTCTCCTTTATGATAATCATCTCAACTATAATTTAATTAAAAAAATGATTCTTTTAAGGAACAGGAAGTCATTATGAATGAGCTCAAGAGAAAAATATAAATCAGCACATAATGCTCCTCATGTCCCTACACATAAATCTACTCCGCTCCATATGCTGTGGTGCTGATTGCCTGACGCAATTACCTCTTCATCAATTACAGCTCAATCTGAGCTCAAATGACTTTTCCCTTCACACCCCATCCCCACTGCCACCTGAGCTCTGCTCGCTCAGCTGTCTGTGTTTGTTCCCTCGGTGGCAGCGTGCTTACTTGAGCCGGATCTTAGCACATACTCAAGGTCAAAACCACTGTTTGATGGCTCGAGTCATTTGATTTAAATAGAACCCCCCCACCCCTCTTCCCTGAAGTGTGTAAGTGAATTATCTGGCTTTATGTCAGTGTGCATTTACTGTATGCGTGAAATGTGACAGTGGATTACGAGTGGAGGGTTGGGGGGTTCAGCGGGAGACACAGAAAAGCAATGACGATATTGGCACGGTGCAGACACGGAATACCTTTGTCAGCACTTGACAATGAGCCATTTCCGTTTCATTTCTATGAATACCCTTAGAGGAAATGGTTTTGGCTCCAGTTATTAAATGTGATGCCGAAATGATGTGCGAGAGCTGATCATCCTTGATCCATGAGGCCAAGATAAAATGTCAGGGACTGTGGAAAGTATTTCCTGCACCAGACACTCTTCTTCACTCTTCATCACTGCCTCTTCATGCAGATTCACCCAGTCACTGTGTTTAAGGGTTAGCTCTATTCATAGCTATGCTAGTTCACCAATTCTAGTGCATGTTGGTGCCCCATAACAATAAAAACATACCACACATGTAATACCAAGCATGTTGCAATCCTTGGCATCCCTCTGCTGACTGGTAAGCAATAGATTGGTGAGACATGCAGAGCCCCAGACTTTCCTGGCATTATAGTAAGATAAATGTAAGATTTAGAAAGATTTTAGAAAACAGTTTGTCAGCTTTACAGCTTCACAGTAGCAGCAGCTGGACAACATATCAGAGTGAGTATTGATTCAAAGGAAAACACTTGCTTGCATGTGCAGGTCTAGTAGCATATGGACAAAGATTAACAAACACGTTAAACATGAAATTAAACAAAAATTAAAATGACATAAACCATATTTGAGAAAATTGTGTTTGACGCGTACTTTGACTTTTTAGTTTGGTCCATCTCCCGTCCATTAACATGGAAGGGAACATGTTTATGACAAGGTGGTAATGGAGACACTTTTGAGGATCTGTCATCGTCCATTTTTATAAACTTTCTATGGTGTGGAGTAACTGAATAACTGTTGCACTTACCACAAGATTGCCAATGACCATGACCATCATGAAGACAACTAAACACATCCCAGCTCCTGCCACCTCCATGCAGTCCCACATGGTCTCGATCCACTCCCCGCACAGGATGCGGAACACAATGAGAAACGAGTGGAAGAAGTCGTTCATGTGCCAGCGTGGCAGCTCGCAGTCTAAGGAGATCTTGCACACACAGTCCTTGTAGTTCTTCCCAAAGAGCTGCATGCCCACCACGGCGAAGATGAAGACAATGATGGCCAGCACCAAAGTCAGGTTTCCTAAAGCGCCCACTGAGTTACCGATGATCTTGATCAGCATGTTGAGCGTTGGCCAGGATTTGGCCAGTTTGAAGACACGCAGCTATCTCCAACACAGGACACATACAAACAGAGACAGTGAATAACGGGAAGTAATCACACTGTGGTGAATGGATACAAATGACATGGGTCAGTGTTTCTCACCAGACGGAAAGACCTGAGGACAGAGAGCCCCTGGACATTGGCCAGCCCCAACTCCACTAGACTGAGCGTGACAATGATGCTGTCAAAAATGTTCCAGCCAACTTGAAAGTAATAGTAGGGATCCATTGCAATGAGCTTGAAGAACATTTCCGCTGTAAAGATTCCTGTGAAAACCTGAAGAGAAAATTGGATGTATGGATCAATCAGTTACTCACTTCAGGGGAGATTATACAAATCAAAGTACTATCAAACTAATTCTGAAGCTGCAACTCTATGGTAAAAAGAAAGTTGCGTGGTGATGTTTTAAAGATGCAGATATTCACCAGATTCCCCACTAAGAGCATGTACTCAAACTCTGGGGTCATGGGGTAGTGCTCCATGGCCATGAAGAGGGTGTTGAGCACGATGCAGATGGTGATGGTCAAGTCGACGAAAGGGTCCATCACTACAAAGTGCACCCAGTTTTTAAAGACCACCCAGGACAGGCAGCAGTCCCACTTCAGGAACGTGTCCGCAAACTTGTACCAGCCGGGTGGGCACGGCCTCTGGGCATCCTCCAACTCTAGACAAAGACAGGGAGGATAAAGAATTATGGAGTCTATCGACGGTTTTATGGGTTATTTTTAAGTGATAATGGGGACACAGCTAACAGAATGCAACGCTGAGTGACATTAAAATTCTTGCTGTGCCAGGTCATAGTTAAACTGAAATAGCCTGAGCTTAACACCGAGAGGGTGTGACACTGGACGCTGACAGGGATTTCTCTTGCATACAATGTGATTAGCCCGACTGGGGCAAGCAGTGGACAATGCTACTGTTTCAGCCTCAGATGAATGAGTGTATAATATTAACAACTGCTCGATAATCTATGCCATTTGTGCTCGCATTACAGCATCTCTGCTTTAAACCTGCAGCTAAGCCTTGTGTATTTCTTCATTCCCTGAAGGCACTTGGCACCTCTAGATATTTTCACCCTGCTGCTTTGAATACAAACAGTATCCTGAAATAGGCATCATGGGGTTGTGTCATCTACTTATGTTAGTATAAACAACGTAAAAAGATAAATAATTCATAAGTGAGTTCTACATTAGTGGGTTTTAATATGACAGTTGCAGGTGCATTTTCAATTATGTGTCCATCGTCAGAGGCACAGTACCTTCCATAGCAGCTGCAGTGAGCACAGACACAGCACTCGCTGATCTCTGTGTCAGGCATGGTTCTTCCAGATGAAGCATGCTGTGCACAGAGCTCAGTGACCTTTCTTCGAGTTCATAATCTGCAGCAGGCTGTGAAATAAAGTGATAATGAAAATAAATTGAACTTAGTTAGTAGCAAGCTCCTGTAGAAATCTCCCTAACCCGACTTACCTTAATCATGGTGGGCGCTCTGATGAGGAAATGGGGAATGACTCTCCCGTTGCAATCCTTGACAATGTCCTCACGTTCAAGACTCAGTTCATCGTCCCCCAACTGAGACGACGTGTGATGACTGAGCGACTTCTTACTGGTTAAAGTGGCTCTGCTCCCAAGATTTTGAGTCTATTGGGTCAAAGGTTTTACAGCAAACTGCATTATATGTTGACAATTAATATTTTTTAATGGTTTTATTACACTTAGTAGGTATTTATCATAATTCTGTGCAAAGGAACAAAAAGCCATTCATGCTTGCTGTCACATAACAGCATTATTTCTTGTGTCAGTTACCTGTTCTTGAATCCTGAGTTGCTCTAGTAGCCGCTGGAACTCCTCCTCTTTCTCTATGGCCTCTCGCTGGGTCGCCTGATTCTGCTCATCGTAAGCCATGGCTACCACAGCCAGGATGAGGTTGATGAGATAGAAGGAGCCCAGGAAGATAATCACCACAAAGAACAGCATGTATGTCTTACCAGCCGCCCGCAGGATCTGTGTTTGAAGCAAAACAGAAGCTGCGAGAACTAAGGACAAGTTTCTTTTCAGATTTTTACTTTGAAATGAAAAAGTTCTAAAGGAGACTGTTTGCAACAAATGAAAGAAGTGCCAACCAGCTGGAAAAGGTTCTCCCAGTAGTCCTGAGTCATGAGTCTGAAGAGGGCGAGGAAGGCCCAGCCAAAAGAGTCAAAGCTGGTGTAGCCATAGTTGGGGTTCCTCCCAGCCTTCATGCAGGTGTATCCTTCAGGGCACATTCTATCAACAAGGGAGAAGAGTCAGTGTGCTTTGCATCTCAAAATCTGACACAAACAGCTCTGAAAGACGACTAGACCAGACTGACCATTGTGGGTATTACATACCCAGCATCAGAACTGTTCCCACAAAGTAGAGCATCAAGGCTGCCTTCCAAAAAATAGTGATTCTCTACAATGAAACAAGAAAAGACACAATGAAATCTCCAGTGTGGACAAAACCCAAAACCTTAAATATGAGACACAATACATACCAGAGTTTTGAATATATTCCATAAAATCAAAGGTACTGTTGGAATATGTTGTCTGATTTACGCCCATTGTGTCGTTGTAGGACACCATGTCGCCGAATGTTGCTGTGGTGTTAAAAAATTCAAATGATGTTTCATTGGTTTCGATTGGCCATCGCACACATTTGTGTCGCAGATTTCCCATAAAGAGCTGAAGGCCGATGAGGGCAAAAACCGCCAGAGCAAACACCGTCAGAATCATGACGTCCACCATTTTCTTCACCGACTGGATCAAAGCGGCCACGATGGTTTTCAAACCTGACAAAATACAAATCATGTAAGTGTAAGTGGCAACAACAGCAGTGCAACCTTTAATGAAAATTTGTCACATAGTTTCCTTTACTACATTTCGCACTCATACTTTGTAACATATTCTGTTACACAAACATACAATATGTTACAAATTCATATGAAATATTAAAAATACCAGGAATCACAGTAATTGTTTTAAGGGCTCGAAGAACACGAAATGTCCTGAGGGCTGACACGTTGCCAAGGTCAACGAACTCAGTGACGTATCTGTGGAAACAAATACATTATAAAAACCTACAGCTAGGAGACCCAGCACACGCACACAAGCAAGCATATACATATAAATATACATTATATTTATATATATATAACATATACACACATACAATTTCACATTTCAACTTTTTGATAATTTTTGAATTATCACTTCTGTTAGTAAAAAAAAAAGTGTGGATTTTATGTCATGATAATAACATCAAAGCATTTTTTCTGTTCTTAGATGTGACCTCATACTTGTGTCCTCGGATACTTACGCCATGCTGATCACCATGAAATCCAGCCAATTCCATGGATCTCGAAGGAATGTAAAAGACCCAACACAGAAACCTCTGGACAACACTTTGACTGTTGCCTCAAAGGTATAAATACCAGTAAAAACATACCTAGAAAGAAACGATGCGGCATGAGAATAAGGGAAAGGAGGATTAAATATAACACAGGAATTACAAAAGTACTCACTCAACAGTTTTACTCCATGCTGGTGGGTTGCTCATCGTCATGAATACACAATTCGACAGAATCGTAATCATGATGAACATGCTAAACAATTTAATTTCAGGATTAAGGAAAAATACTTGACATTGCGTGTATAAGCAGACATTACTTTAACAAAATATGTTGAATACATTTGCACAGACTCCGGCAACAACAGCTCAAAGGATATGAATGTATAAGAATCTTGATGCTTCCTCTTCTAACCAAACTAAAGGGGCTCAGAATGTAGCAAGCCGGCTCAGCATTGAACCTGTAGATTGTGTTTCCTCTGCTGATCACAATGAATGTCTGGAAAACACAAAGATGACCAGAGTGAATGTGAGAAGTCCCAGAATAAGATTTGTATAAATAAACAGTGATGACAATCCTGAAATAAATACTTTAACATTGAGACACATGCATTCCTTACATGAAACAGTATACATTGCGTAAGGGATACTGAATGCAGTTGTAATAGCAGAAATAGAAGTAGTAATTCAAAGTTATGTGAGGACGTGGAGTTTAAGTAAATACTAAGTGAACCCAGATGATGTTAGTCTGACATTCTGTGCTTTGTAGAAGGGGTCCAGGTCCTCCAGAGGTGTGTTGAGCAGCTCTGGTGGAGGGTCTCCGTAGATCATGGGCAGGCTCTTCCCCGCCTCCAGGTCAGCGTTCGGGGCTAATTTCTCTTCGCCCTCATGGCCCTCTACTTCTGCTGCCTTTTTTCTTTCCTCCTTGAGCCTCTCGATCTCCGCCAGTGATTCCTGGCTGAAGGGGCGGAACGCATTGGTGCCTCGGGGAGGGAGCACGGACGCCATCTTCGCATCGCGAAGGGATGCCGCCTCACCTGGGTCTCCCTAGAAGAAGCTGGAGGGTGGACAGTCATTAAATAGAGGACATATAATGTGTTAGCAACCACAGCAGTAAAACGCAGACATAGTTCCAGATTAGGGGGTGGATCCATAATTTCTTTTTCACCTCTTTTAATAATGAGTTGGTTTTTAATATTTTCACTGATTTCCCTGGTAGTAAATCATGGATCCCTAATCACATTTGGGAAATTCATATCGAGTGTGTGCAATTTAAGGGGACTGTTGGGACTTGACGTAGATATGCACACTACTGAGTGCCATTCTTGTGTAATATTATTTTATTGCCCAGCCCCAAGTGTTGGTGATGATCAGGTCTTAGTTGCTGTGATCTGTATCCAAACATCTCAGCCTCACCCCAACCCCCTAACCCTAATCCTCTGGTTCCTGCCCTGCACCCTGTGCCCTACGTCTCTGAGCCGACACGCTAACAAAATGAAGAGACTCACTCAGGACGAGGGCCTGGACTTTCCCACCGTTCTAAAGACACCACGGCATTGCTGGTGTACATCAGATTACTTATTAGCTTAGCAGACACTCCACGTCTGGTCCAAGTGGCGTTTGCTTACATGCTTTGATGTGTTTAGCAACCAGTCAACATCGCTTGGTTTCGTCAGGAGCAGCTGAGGTTAGGTGCTGTCAAGCAAAAAAATAATGCAGTGAAGTAGTTTGTGCATAGGTTGGATTCTCGAATACAAAACAAAATATATATCACTGCTTCGCCGTATGTATTATGTCATTTTGCGACGTATATGACGTACAACGTATATGTTAGGCTGAACATGACCAGTATTTACCACATAGCAATAATAACAAGTTTTTTTACTTTCATCGCTTGAATTAATCACACACACACGCGCACACACACACACACACACACACACACACACACACACACACACACACACACACACACACACTTAAAAGCACACGAAAAGAAGAGCTGCTGAGTTCAGTCATGTAACGACACTAAGCTATCAGCACAACGGAATCGATGGTGACACGGGGCCACGCTCTGCCTCAAACATCCTCACTTGAAGATAAAATCGTGCATTCACACACATACGAGGGCGACGCACACGCCTGCACAGATACGATGGCTGCCCAGCTGCTACAGGCCATCAAGACAGAGCGTCGTGTTTCAGAAGCCCGATGACTCCGCTCATTCCTTCCTGGCTGAGCCTTTGCTCTGTGCCTCACATCCCTCCGATAAACAGGACAGGCTGCCAACTTATCTTACCAAGCCGACTCCTTCCTTCCACTACCTCCTATTTTACACCAGGCCCCAAACACACCAGGCTTTACCAGAACTTTACAACCACCCCTGCTATATGACACTGGAGCCTCTTAATCCCATTTTCACACAACAGTCTTTTATTATTCCATCTCACACATATCACCCATCAAATCTGCTCAAACACTCACCAGACACCATCTCTCTGTCAGGTCAGGGTTTCCTTTTTTTATTACCAATGTCAACCCCAGTGTCATTCAATCACAAGACATCCTGTGCAGTGCTGCACCTTCCAGCTACTTTCTGCACAAGCCTCAACCTCCCTCTCATCATCCCATTTCAAGACACCCAATTCTGGGAGCCATGGGCCCCGACGCCTTTGACCGTGAGCCAACCTTAAAAATCACCTACGTCCTGAGAATGGATGTGTTTATCTGTGGCATACGGTGAACACTTCCTGATTACGTTACACCACACTGTAACTGCTGAAGCCATCTGCCATTTAAAAAAAAAAAAAAAACTAAATCCCTTAGTTGAAACCAATCAATGTCAATAGGTAGACGACCACGTAGGTGATGATGTTACACCAAAACTAACCAGATCAAATGAGACAAAAGAAGACATGAAGCTCGGTTCAGACTTTCTGGTGAGGAAACATCCTGTTTTATATGAAAGGGGGTGCTGTTTGTTGTAGCCCCCCCCCCCAGATCCCTTTTGCCCAGAGACCCCAAAAGTCACGAGCAGCCCTTGTTACCCTTTAAGTTGATGTAAGGGTAAGTGTGAGTCAATGTAATGTCCTCTAAAGTCCAGAGACACGGCTGGTGATCGAGATGTGTTTCCACCTGTCGGGTATAAAGTAACATAAAAAGAATATACTCAAGTCCCTCAGAAGAATTTATTCGAGTAGATCTATTTCGTTGCTTCGCACCAAAGGTTTGATCTTAAGAGTCTAACTGAAAAATCCTAGTTGTTATGTACAACGCGCTCGTTCGATCTCATTGAGGACAGGTGGCAAACCGAGGAAGAAGGGGGGAATGTTAGATTTCAGAGGCCTTCCCCGACAGTAATCTATATATCATCTTGCATGTCAGTGCCATGTGACCTGTGACATTCTGGCTGAGGATATAGACGGTGTAATGTAGACACCCCTTGGTTACAGTAGCCGGCCTTGGAATGCGAATGCCAATATTCACCTCCGGAAAACTAACCCAACTAGCTTTAGGTTTTTTGTCACAAGGGCAACATGAGTTCACACATCAAGAGAGGCTGTGCCGTCTTCTCAGAAACAGTGAAGAAGTTTAGTTCTCTAAATTTTAGGGTCTTGAGTCCAAAGGATTCAAATTGTCTATTGTCTCTCAAAGAAAACATCTTGAACTGAAGTCATACATGTTGGTTTAAGTTTGGTGCCCTGAAGATGCCAGGAGTTCAAATTCAAGTCCTGTGGCAGCATTAGTCATTGTGCCACGGTCATCTTCCCCCGGAATGTGGTTAAGTTGTAAACGACAGAGCCACAGAACAAACAAGGGCTGTTATCTACAAGTCCTTTGACATTTACCATGCTCCCCCTCCCCCTCCCATTTTCTCACGGGGTCAAATCGCAATGCTGTGGTTCACCCGCTCCCTGCTTGCTTCAACACCCTGTCAACCTGCCAGTTAACCTTGTATTTCAAACCCTATAGGGGTTAAAACAGACCTCTCCACCTGCTGCTTCTCCCCCCCCCCCACCCCCGTGCCATTGTACATCACCACCAGAACTGTTACATATCTTTACATGCACAATGTTGCTGTCACCGTCCATCCCCAGCTTAATCTCCCTTTAGCAAACAGTCCGATGGACAGAGACGTATACTCACACTAATTATAAATCCAGACTTTTATTTAAGGATGCAGCGAAACAGAGCGTCTCAAGGACAAGCTCTGTGAATGTTTCATATCAACCTGGAATATATGAGCCTCTGGGGGTTAATCATAATAAAAATAATAAAAAACTGTTGTATGGTGTTGAATCTGACTGCTTCAGTAACCTGAGCTGTTTTAGAATAAACCATAAATGTAAGATTAACTTTGTGGCATCACCAAGAAGAACAGTGGGGTCGTAGATTTACTGTGAAGCAGCTTTCTAAACAGATTTCCGCCGTCTTAAACTGACCCATTTGGCCTTTGCACTCGCTGCTCAGAAATCTGAGTTGGTTACACGAGGAAGTGACGTGGAGAATATTTCATCCAGCTTGTGATGGGTCAGCGGGAGATATCATCGTACACATAACAACGATCAAGTCCATATAAAACACAGAGCTCCCTGCTCAAGTTCGAATCATCTATTTAAAAACACACATCTGTTCCTATGAGTAAATAATATGTCAAACGCTGTTAAATGTACATTTTGAGGAAAAAAAGATGAACCTATCTTTAACCTTATTTCACCTTTGAATACTGTGGAACATACTGAGGCCCAGCCAAGCAGTCACATGGGTTCAGTTGGTGAAAGAAACTCAAAACCGACACCTTCTGCGTCCAAGAACATGTGATGCGAGACACACAAACACACTCGGTCAGAGGAGGACCACAGATGCGTCTTATTCCACATTGTGCACATTGAAAGCGACATAATCCGGTATCTTATGCCACCTGTTGCACTCATGTGACGACAGGTGAGCGGCGAACACATCACAGAGCAGATTCACCTGGAGTTAACAAAATGTCTCAGACAAATGAAGCAGTAAAACTCACTCTAAGAACTTCAACAACACGAAACGATGATCCCCCATCCATGTGCACTGGCCCCTGCTGCTGGAGCTCCACTGTAGGAGCTCAGCCTGGTACATAAAAGCTGCAGGATCAGGGAACACAGTGCAGTCTTAAGATCCGTCTGCACGCAGGCCCACGCCTCTGATTTGAGCAGCAGCTGAGTAATGATTGGGTGCGAGCGTCCACAGCATCACAGTGTCTTGCCTATCTGCAATAAAGACGTGGCCTAAAAATAAAACTGTGGCAGGAGGCATCATGGGGGATTGAGAAAGTTGTAAAGTGTCCTCAGTGTCCTCAGACTTTCCGATATCAGAATCAGAACTTGTTGAAAAGGCCATGTGCGAGTACAAAAATCTATTTATTAATCCAATAGCATGTCTTTTTTATTGTATTCTAAATTTTTTCTGCAACAAAACAGTGCAGCTAACACATATAGTGCTGATCATTTCCACAATAAGGGACATAAGTAAAGGAAATTAAATAAAACCTGACAACATGGATGTGCAGCCATAATTGACAGAGGTTGCATTAAAAGACTGACTAAGTCACATCAACGCGACTAGGCTTTCCCAATTTAAAGGCTCCATCAAAAGCAGCCAAACAAATGCCTCTGTGTCCAGGAGAAATGACGGCTCCAGTGGGTGGATCTGTCATTTCTCAACCTATCCCAAGATTGGTGACGACCAGTCTTTCAAAGAGGTAACGGTACCAGCAAGTCAACCGAACAGCCAGGGGACAACCGGGACGAGCCGATGACCCCGATCACAGAATGCCTCTGTAGACCATTTCATTCTGGTTCTGCCTACGGCAATATCCGTGGGCCACATTGACCAAATCCTCCGAATGATCAGGCCTACCTATCCTTCACATTGGAAAATCCCACGAGTAGAGCGGTGGCGTGTACTATAAGCAAGACTTCAGTTTCGAGAGGTGGCGTTACTTACAAGATTTTGTATTCTTACAAACTGTGGCTGCACTTTAACAGCTTTTTAAAAGAGGCGATTGTTGTGTATTCCTAGATTTATGCATTTGTATTCTTTTTGACTTATGACCTTCAAAGTAGATGATAACAAACGCTCGATGTTATTCAGTCTCTGTTTGTCACAGGGTTGAACTTGAGCCAGACCAGTAAACATCACCTCAGACGAGGTTAGAACATACAACTGTTAAAATACACGGGGTTGGAAATGCACCGGTATCCGATCTAAACGGTCAGAGAGCATCTCTCTTGCCTCCAGGGATTCGTTCACCTGATAGTTGAGTACATGGGCCTGTCATGATGTTCAAGTGTGGCAGTAAAAACACATGTTGCACACTACATCACCTTCACAACACAAACACACACTCACTCACGCTCACATTTTAAAACACTGCTGAGACGCCATGAATCTACCAATTCCAAATTTGACCCAAGCTCCATTACAGGTCTACGTTTATTATTAGAACAAAGGTGCTGGTTTTAAAACAGCATTTGATTTAGTTGGTAGTGCAACTAATTATTTTTGAGAGCCAATGAACAATTAAAAACCTTCCATGTTGTGCCTTTCAAATGAAAACGTTTGCAAGTAGTTTGACCATAATTTAAATGCGAAGTAAAATCAAGTCCTAACCTTCGTATCTTAGAGGCAGAAAGAAGATCCACGGAGAGAGAAGCGTGAACATTAATTGATGTGAAAGAGACGATATGAAAAACCTTTTAAAAATCATTCACAAGTAAAATCCTTCAATGTGCAACCTGAGGCTTTTTCGTTTCCAAGCTTCATGCAGGAGTCGGACGGATGAAAACTGAATTTACGGAGGTTACCTTGCACGGTTCAGCAAATATTTCCACAGAATCCAAGAAGCTTGAGAAACAAAAAAATCAAGTCCTCCGTCCAGCCTCTGAGGACGCAGCTCTGCGCCTGTGGCTGCAGGACAGCTGTTGCTGACGCAGAGTGCAGCTCTGCACTGAAACCGGAGGAGTCGCTCCAGGTAGGAAGGATCAGATCAGACCTTTGACACTTCAGCCGCGGAGCCGCTTCCCGCTCCCGCACAGCTGGTCGCTGCTGCCCGCCTCTCCGTGCGCACAGTCCGGGGGATGGTTCCCGCTGCAGCCGCCTCGGAGCTGCGAGCACGGGCTCCTGCACACACAGACACACAACGATAATATAATTATTAATGATGACAGTAACATCGACAGTTTTCGTTGTACTGTATAAAATGTGCATTCAATATTTCTTGCTCAATCATGTCAATATGTATTAATGATGAGTTTCATAATGACTGTAGTATTTCATATATTATGATATATAATATGTATTTTCTATCTCATTTGTTTATTGTTTTTAATGTTTTTAGTTTCATTCTGAATGAAGTATGAAGTGTACCACACAAATTCAAATTGAATGAAAAGTCGTGTATCGTTATTATCAAGTGATAATCTTCTCAGAGAAAGTATTTATACATCTGTATGGATACATTCAGTTGTAAAGCATCTTGTAACTGTGTTTTTAAAGGACATATACAAAGTTTATCATTATTTTTTATTACCATTGGTGACCAGAAAGTATACATTTGTACTATATATATATATATATATAAAGACTATATGCATTCAGTTTTTATCTTTGTGAAGTACTCTGTAAACCTGTAGGTACTATAAAAATAAATAGTATTATTTTGAGTATTGTTATCATCATTATTGTTATTATTCAGTAAGATTATTATCATTATTACTCTTTTTATTATTACGATTCATTCTTCGCTTGAAGTATTTTTTCTTTTCTGTTTCAGAAGTGGACAGTGAGAGAGAAAAGTTTATTAAGAACCAAACAAATATTTAAGGAACAGTTTTATAGTCTTTTACAACCACAAGAGGGCAGCATGACTTTCACTAAAAGCTATTCTCACATATTTGCTTTGGTGAAACTCTCCTGTTTATATATCACTTAAAAACTAAACTATAAAACTTCAGCATTTGTGTGATTAATTTAAAATGTGAAAACACCAAGACCCTCATTTGAACATGAGTCCGACAGAAGGTCTTCAATTTAGTTCAACTTTTTAAAAAACCTTAAAGCAGCTGCTTGATTAAGAAAAGTTTGAGGTTTCAGTGAGTGAAAACCAGTTTGCTCCAAAATTCAGCAGGAAACTTTTAAAATATGAAGAATTCTAAATAGAGTTTGGCAGATTTGTTACAGCAGCAGCTCTTCTGGTTCAGGACGCCAGGGGTCATGGGTAATATCCACTGTTTAGTTGTGTTTCCGGTCAATGAGTTGAAAATAATATTCAGAATTAGGTTTTAAATTGCGTACAGGCTCAAATTTGAATTCGGAATGAGCCTTTCTCAGTTTATTTGGGATTGTGTCCTCCATCTTACACTGGCACGTTTCTATGAACGACCAGACAAACCCAACACGGGCTCTAGAGAGGGTTACACAACACTTACACTACACATGATAATCTTAGTAAAAAGATCTGATTTTTGATTACAGCGTCATTTGAGAGGTCCAGGCCTGCGTCTGATTGGCTAAGCCGCCCTGTCAGTGTGAAGGCTATATTTGGCTGAAAGGTGCGTGGTATGATTATACAAGGAAAATGATATCTATGATTACAAATGTAAACTGGTGTCATTGGTTTCTTGGAAATGGAGCCTGCTGCAGTTCCCCCCCCCCCCTTYTTCAGGGCAAATAAAATGATATCAAATACTTTTGACTTCTATTAAGATTCCTATTTTTGGTTAAGATCATATATATATGTATATATATGCACATATATGGAATTATCAACACACTTCAATGTCATGTTTGTACTTCAACATGTTTGTGTTCTATGTGTTGTGTATGCTTTTTAAAATGTAAATAATCATGTTTTATTTTTAATCTTTAGTTTATTTATTATTTTTCTTACTTTTTAACATTCTTTAATTTCGTTTGTAGTATTATATATTTACTTTGATCTTTTATTTTGTTTTATTATTAGTATTAGTGGTAGTTATTGCAGTAGCAGTCAATGGAGTAAATAGTGGCTGTGTTAGTAGTTGTAGTAGTAGTAGTTGTAGTAGTAGATGCAGTTGCATTAGTAGTAGCATTAGTTGTAGTAGTTGTATTAGATGTAGTAGTATTGGTAGTCAGTGTAGTAGTATTAGTAGCAGTAGTAGTAGATGTAGTGGGAAGTAGGAACTATTTAATGTAGATTTAAAGGAGGGGAGTATTAAGGACGCGACACGGTTACCATGGAGACCGTCGCTACATCCGGACCATAGATTGTACACAAAAAATGGACGTTGCTTCCGGCTCCTAAAGAAGAAGCGGACGCTGAGTGAAGAACTTCGTGTTTACTCTTCTTCTCTTTACTGCTTCGGTAAATACGTTGTTTTATTTGTCTTATAATTTATATAGAACAACTTATTGTAGCGACACATTAAAAACTAGGGCTGCGAGTATCACTTTGTGTGTGTGTGTGTGTGTGTGTGTGTGTGTGTATAAAATCTTACATCTGAGAGTAAAACAGCAAAATATAGTAAGAAAATATGATGATTTAATATTCCATTATCAACACAATAAAAAACTGTTCTGACTCAGTTCTGAGTATTTGTTTATTTTTTTAGTACATCAGAAAACTTCAAACAACTTGAGGTGGAGGGTTGAAAATTTCTTGTGCACCCCCCCCCTTTACACCACCAATCCTTTCATCCCTTTTATGTCGCTTTATCTCCGTTTACATAGATTTAGATGGCTGTAACATCAAAGACAACTTGACAGTCTTTGATATGTCAAAAAGCAAAACAGGGAACAAAGAAGAGGAAGAAGAGAAATTAGATCCACATATAATCTGAGACTTTTTTTGATACGTTCATTCAAGTAAGTGTTGGGACAGCTCTATCAGGAAGGTATATGTTATTAAGTGGTACGCCTCAGGGCAGTGTCATTAATCACGCATTAAGGTCCACGCCATCAAGTGCAGACCACACAGTAAAATAATTGTGGTGCAGATTGGACAATGCACAGTGGAGTTACGACCACTTTGTTTACTTTGGCCATATGTATGTCTACGGGGGGTTCTGTTGTTACACACATGTAGTTTCTAATAAAACATGTTTCCTGACATTAGGAAGCAAACATGGACTCTGAGTACATCCAGAGACATCTTGGAAAGTGTCTGGCAGACGGACTGGCTGAGGTGGCCGAGCAGCGCCCCGTCAACCCCATCCTGTACCTGGCTCACTGGCTCCTCAAAAACAACGCCAATGTCCAGGAGGACAGGGAGGTAAAGTGCTGGTTCATCCTCCTGACACCAGGGGGCAGCATTACACAACATGCTGACAACTCCAGCAGGAAACACCCATTCATTCACTTCATCAACAACCCAGAGATCAAACTTCAATTGTGATGTTCACCACAGAACTCTCACTAAATCATTTCACCACCTGAGAAACACATAAACACGAGACAAATGAAAATAACAAAACAAAGACAAGAAGCTAATTTATACAATATCATTAAAATCAAAGACAGCAAATCACTTAAAGGGATAGTTCACCCAGAAAAAATGAATTCACTCATTATCTACTCACCACTATACCACAAAACTCTTTTCAGGGGTAAACAGCGTAGCAGCCAAATCCAACTACCAACTCAGGCCCTGATCTTCAAACTGGTTTTAGGAGCTGTAGTAAAGGCTGACACAGTCTTAGACCGTCTAAGCTCCTCAGGCTGAGCCCTGTAAAGCTATTTAACTTGCTGGCACCATGGTAGTAAAAACCTTTCCACCTTTAGCTTTGACTGAGGAACTGACAGACTTAACACTGCATGTCTGGGATAAACAGCTGCCTCACAAGAAGAAATAAAAGAATGGATGATAAAGCCTCCTACAACTGAACCAGTTGTCCGAAAGTGTAATTGGGTCCTTTCCTGACATTGAACCACTTATTTTTAATTTGCAGAAAAAGGCTCGTTCAGCTCTGTTGGAGCAGGAGCAGGCAAAAGCCAGAGGGGAGGAGCTGCACCAGGAGAAGCTTGGGGAGGAGGAGCTGAATATCAACGAGGCCTTGGAGGAAAAAGTAGGTTAACCAAACGAAGATGTTTTTTTAAGGAACATCAACAGTCCGCTTGAATTGAATCAAGTCGCACCAAATCGTAAACACTTATCCACAAATTAACTGGATATCAGTTCCCCAAATATGTCAGATGTTTTTAACCATTAATTATTCCCAGGGAAGAAAATGTCACAATAAACAAACTCTTGCAATGTTAAAGAAAGTGAAAAACAAATTCTTGGATCCACACTCAGAATTTGACCGATAGCACATCCGTCCACTCAGTTTCACGGTAAACCGTCCAGAAGTTTTTTTGTAATTTTGCGAACTGTCCGACAAAAACGAATCACATCACAGTTCGACAAAATGTGTATGAACATAAACACGTCAACAGATCTCTGAAATGGAAGCTTCAGGGTCTGCTTCACCCAAGCCAGCCCCAACAGGAGCTGCTGAGGAGGACAAACCAAACACTCGTCCTGAAAACCAGCAGGGTGAAGATGAACAGGAGGTGATTTAAAAAGTAGATTTTAAAGCTGTGTGCTTCTGGTGGTGGTTCCTCCCTGATCATATGTAGTTTTCCTTTTAAATCCGGTCTTCTCTGTGACCTCTGGTTTTGATTCATGGTCTTTGCTGAGGTGTTTGTGGTGGAGCTGGGTGATGCGTTCATTCTGATACGTCTGTGCATGACTCGCCTTGCATGGTGTGGAAATAGCCATCAGATGATTGGCGTCAAATGCTCTACGGAGATGGTGTGTCTGTCAGGTTACAGATACTGTAGCCAGCCCGGGGTCCACTGAGGGAGAACCTGTGGAGGAGGCGAGCTCTCCCCTCACAGAGACCCTCAGCAATGAGGTCAGAGGGGAGTCAAGGAGCGATCAAGCAGAAGAGGAGCAACATGATAATGATGAAGAAGAGAAAACTGAGGAGGGGAGCACCAATCAAGCAGGAGACAAACACAAAGAAGAGGTGATGAGACCCTCCGGTCAAATTACACCCAAACTATTTCAGTCCTGTGACGTCATCTGTTCACCTGGATGGTTTGTATCACAGCGTCCAATTCATAACACATGAAAGATGATTAGATGTTAAACACAGCGGAGAGAAATCTAATATTTCACTGTGAAGGAAAGAGTTTCTACTTGAAGAGGTTTACTCATCACTTTCTTTATACTGTCTCGTTTGGTGGGTGTGTCAGCGGTGTGGTCCAATCAGCAGCGACGTGTTTTCAAACCCTGACATATTAAAGAGGCAGTGATCGCCTTATAGAAAGCAAGAGATACAAGGTGGAGAACAAGGAGAGACACAGGTTGAGTGATTGAGACAAGTGAGGACCAGATGAGGGACAGTAGACACAAGCAGCAAAGCCTCAGGTGTCAAGGGGAAGAAAATACAGATGTTTCAGGCTGAGAAGAGCAGGATGACAGGATGACAGGATTATTTTTATTATCGTTTTCCCTACTTTCTACTACTCTGTACTCATTTTCTGCATCACACCACTTTACCAGAAGCTTGCTGAAGACGAAACCGATAAACCTGCAGATTCCGGCCCGGTGGAGTCACCCCTGAAGGCTGATGATCTCAAACCAGAGGAGACATTCTCTACCGAACAACAGGAGACACGCAACACAAGTTCTCCTGCTCCTCAGGATACGGAGAAGGTGTCTTGTTTAGCTAATCGACTGAACATTCACATATATATATATATATTCTTATATAACCTTGTGTAGATCGTTTCTCTTAATTTCCACATATTGAGGAAGAAAAGCAGGTCTCGAGGAGGCAGCAGTGTAGACGACATCCTAGAGATGGTTATAAATGACAAACATTTAATCAGAACTGTTGTGGTCTCATCTCAGGCAGGACACACAGGTGAGACCCCTGACGGCTCCGCAGAGGGAACAGTGACTTTACAAGAGGATCAGGAAAGATCTCCGACTGACAAAGACAACGCTGAGGAGAAGGTGAAAAAAACACCCAAAGTTATTTATGATTCGTTTCAGACGTTCCCACAAACATCATGTATCTGAATGAGGTTATTATCTATGCTACTATTCATAAATCTTTTAGGTGAGAATCATTTGTCACTAAGTTCTGTGTTTCTTTTCAGGAAGAAGAAAATGACACCGATCATATTTGACCAACTCAGTGTTTGACGATCCATCAACCCATCATCCATCTTTTTAATAAATGCACAAATAAAGAAACTTCAGGATGAGTACTGTCAGGGTTTCAGATTCATTATTTCAACTGTGAATATTTAGAAATGGTTTCTAACAAACATATAATATAATATCACGTATATAGATCCATCTTTAACCCATTAAGGCCGACTGCAACATATTCATACATGACCATTTAAAAATGGATGTAATGTCTGCGTACAGTTCCCAGGAGTCAGATGAGCTGCACATTTACATTGTTATCACTGATGAAATACTTCATACATTCAAAAATAAAACTTAAAGCCATTTTTCAAAATACCCAAAGATAACAAAGAGAACCAAAACATACTAACTCAAAAGTTGTCAGAACTACCACTGAGGTAAGAAAACTACAAATATAAATTCAATCTGTTCACACATGGACCATCAAACAAGGCAAACTCACATTTTGTTCACGTACACGGTCCAAACTCTGAGGGCTGAGGCCTCCACCATGTGGCTGCTCTCCGTGTTCAGGAAGTCAGGTGAGCTGGCTTCCTGTATAGACTCTGGGGGTGGAGCCACAGGAGGCAGGGCTCAGGTGTTGTCCAATCAACAGCGACGTGGATATAAACTCTGCCATTTTAAAAAGGCAGCGACACAATGGATCGTAAAGTTCTCTACAGATGTGGCGGCTGCTGTTTGTGTTCAGATCAAATGAAGATATTTTATGCAATAAGCTTCCATCTTCCAGTTGCAATTGTTTTAACGTTATTCTTATTTCACATTTTTAAGCTTTGTTATTTCAACTTACATAAATGTATTTACTTTGGGATTTTAAAGTGCCCAGTCTTGTCTTTTATATTATATTTTATCATCTTGATGCTTCCTCTAATCCAAACGTTTTTTTAAATAATTTTTGTTGAAGTAAATTTAGGTGATTTCTCCAGTACATTTATGAGTGAGTGTCATTTGGAGCAGAACCAACTTAAATTCTGGATCCAGTGAATTTAAATGTGGTTTCAGAAGGAGCCAGTTGGGCCTTGGTGACTTTTGTGTGAATGTTTCAGTACAAAGACGTTTGTTGAACTCGTGTAAAGATTGTGTTGATGGTGTTGAAGTGATTAATTTCCTGTAAGGTTCGCAGACTACAAACCCTTCTTGTGACTCAGCTCAAACATTGCGTAATGTGTGGTGCTTTGGTCGCATGACGCTGCAGTTTCCGCACTGACCTCTGAGCCAGAGGCGGTGGTTCTGTGCGTAATGACGCGTCTGTGCGCCACAGACTCGATGCCGAATCAAACAGCTGCATGTAATCAACTTCTCTGGCTGTATAAAGGACGGGGGGTGTGGACACATAGCGAGGATCCGAGCTGGAAGTTGGAGCCCCTCGGGAGTGTGTGCGACACTGAGGACAGAGATGGCAGCGGGAGTCGTGGCCAACGTGGTGGCGTCTGTCCTCGGCCTCATCACCGCTGTGACCAATTTCATCACTGACATGTTCCTGACTCCACCGCTGAAGGCCACTCTCCAACATCTGGAGGAAACTGAGCTAAAAACTCTCAGAGGAGGTGAGACAGAGGTTTCTATCCAGCACAGAATGTGATTATATATATTTTAATCAAAGTGTGATCAGAGCTGTTGTCCAGTGGCAACGTGTTCATCTGTTGCTCCACTCTTTCACCACTTCTGTGTGTTCAGAGGTGAAAACACTGAGAGCCAAATGTCTGTGGGAGAAGTCTGGAGCTGTCATCATGGCAGTGCGGAGGCCCGGATGATTTTTGTGCAGAGAGGTAAAACACACACACACACATCACAATCACATCACAATCACAACACAATACTTCTTATGGCTGAATTGAAATTATTTATATAGTGAGAATCAATTTGACCATTATTTCCCTGCTCCAGGAGCCAAACGGGCCTTTTCCTGCAAATCAAATCAAGGCTTGTGATGAAGAAAGAACCTTATTACACAACCTAGACAAATAATCTCTCTCCACAATCTTTCATAGACTGTGTGGTGACGCTACAGTAAAAATCATTATTCTCATTCCAGACATCCTCTTGTCTCTTGTCTTATAAACATATTTGGTATCTTTTGGGACATTTGGCAATTCCAAATTCTTCATTTTACTCATGTGGGTTGATACCATGAACTGTTTATAAATATGGACGACGCCCTCCACTTCCTCCCACTATTCAGAAAGGAAACCAAAACATCCTGTATATGAAGCATGAGAAACATGAACATTCATCAGTGTAATGAGAACGACCTAAAATGACCGAAAACCTTCTTCAGAGGATTTTCTTTGACCTTTTAGTTGGGTCCCTGTGCCATCTGCTAACATGGAGAAAGGTTTATAACTACACTGTTAGTTTATTATTCTCCAGAAGGCGTCTCCCCATGCACACTGACAAATTATAAGATGTTCCAGAAACGACTCGTAGAACGGACGATGTTCTGAAATGAAGCCAAACATTAGAACTTATTTGAGATACGACTTTTTCACAGAAATGTACAAAAGGAGGCCTGGTGCTTGTTTACAAGGAGTTTGTTTTTGTTCGTAGAAGTAAACAACAGCAACAGTTCTTCTCCCTCTTGTGCTGCAGGAGGCTGCAGAGCTGTCCTCTCTGAAGCCCCAGCTGGACGAGCTCGGGGTTCCTCTGTACGCGGTGGTGAAGGAGGACGTCGGCACCGAGGTCCAGAACTTCAGGCCGTACTTCAAGGGCGAGATTTTCTTGGATGAAAAGGTGGACTACTTTATTTATTTATTTATTTTCTTCCTGCAATGAATTTGTTTATTGTGTCGATGTTCCTTTTAGACGTTCAAACCAGATTCAGCCAGTATTTCAGAATGTGTTGGGAATCGGTTTGGGTCGGCATGAATGACTCCAGGGGGTTTGGTTTGTGTGCTTTCATCACAGAAGCGTTTTTATGGACCCCGTCAGCGGAAGATGGGCCTCTTGGCRTTCCTTCGTCTCGGGGTGTGGATGAACGGCCTGAGGGCCTTCAAAAATGGCTTCATGGGAAACGTTTTGGGGGAGGGCTTTGTCCTCGGTGGGGTCTTCGTCATTGGACAAGGACAGCAGGGAATACTTCTGGAGCACAGAGAGATCGAGTTTGGGGATAAAGTCAACACTGAAGACGTCATCAAAGCCACCAGAAGAATCGGAATGGAACTTCTGCCGATGGAGAAGATATAACAATTTGTATTGAAGATTAAAAAAAAAAAAGCAGAAAACATCTCTCAGGGGAACCAGGATGCATTTTGGGGTGTGACTGTGTTTAAGAGGATCTGAGCGTATTAATGACGGTCTGTCTTTAAACTCAACAGAGGAAGCAGACCTGATATCTAACATCTCAGTTCCCTTTATATCGGTGACACCGTTGTGTATTCTTGGGAGCCAAGAGACTGTGACCTGTAACTAATAAAGCAAATACATCCACGCATCTAATATCTCCATCACTTCTTCTTTGAGGGGTCGTAGCTGACGTTGGACGAGAGGTGGGACACAGTCTGGACAGGTCGTCAGTGTATCACAGGGGCAGATGTAGAAAGACAATCATTCATGCTCTGTCAGTTTAGAGTCAATTAACCGAACCACAGTCTGAGAGTGTTTGGACTGGAGGAGGAAGAGATCGGAGAAAACTCTCTCAGACACAACAACATGCAAACTCTTCAGAAACACTCCGGCTGCCGAACCAGGGATTAAAACAAAAGATGTTTTCATCGGAGTTTGTTGTTTAGCAGCATTACATAAACTACTGTGATGGGAAGAACGTAAGATAAGATGTAGTCAACTTAACTGAGCCACACTGAGAATATTGTGTTTAAATATCTTTAAAGAAAATCAACTAAATGTAAATTAATGGATCAGAAACGATTCTAACAGTTTATGATGATTAAAATAAATGAATCATCTCTTTAGAAACATCGTCATTCCCTTTCTTCACAGCGAGTGCTGACAGGTTGATTGACATGTCCCTCCTCCAATCAAATGCTCCCACCTGACTTGGAGCCAGCCAATCCAGGTGGGGGCGTGTCCTCGGTGCTGCAGAGAGACAGGTGAGAGGTCCTTCCTGCAGCTTTGTCTCAGGTGGACTCGAACCCGACATGAGATGGATTTAAAGCATGTTCGCTCCTCATCAACGCATCTTCTTCTTCATGATAAAACTTGTGTGAACTGAGATTTATCGTCTGTTCGTCGACTCGAGCTGAAATATGTGGTGAGTATTTAATTTCTTTTATTTCTGACAACAGGCTGCAGAACAAGTAAAATGTTTTCTTGTTGAATATGAAACTTTATTGAATGTGATGTGGTTTGACAGCGACAGAGGAGATGGTTGGGGGGGGAGGGGTGAAGCCATGAGGACACTGTTATCACGGGTTAAGTTTAGTGGCATGTAACCAAGGTAACCAGCACCATGTGACATCTTGACTCTTAAGTGGGTCAAGTCTAAATAAACCCATGAAATCCTGTTTCTCACATCACCTGCAGCGACAAACCACAGCGTGTCCTGAGGGGAGAGTTTAGATATATATATATATATAATGTTAAAATATGATGAGATAAGATAAGATATGTTAAGATAAGTCATGACAAGATAAGTGAAGATATAATAAGATATCTTAAAATAAGATAATATAATAAGAAAAGATATGTTAAGTTATAAGATGAGATACGTTAAGATAATTTAAGTTATGATAAGATAAACCTAGATAAACTAAACACTGGGGAAATTCACTTGTCTGCAACAGATGAGCTAAACAAGAAACCACACAGAAGTATAAAATAGATTAAAATAGAAAATTAAAGATAGAATTAGATAAAATAGAGAGAATCTGTACATAGCTTATTGAATTAGTGTTTTTGATGTGTGTGTGTGTGTTTACGTACAAACTGCTGGTGTGGCTTTGAGACTCCGACAGGTGAGAGACATGCAACATGGGCAGGAATGGACCAGAGAGTCCGCCGTCACGTCGCACAGCAACCTGCGAGGGTGAGTCTGGTTCATCACAACAACACCACATTCACACAGATAGACAGACACAATGTGTACGACTGTCACAAGTCAGATTAATCAGAATCTTTGGAAACACCAATGACACCGTTAAAGTTTACACCATGAGAGTATATGTACACAAGTCAACTGGTTGTGTGGGTTGTAAACAGTACAAGTACTGTAAAGAAGCAGTAAATTAAACAATAAATACTCTATCAATGGACGGATGTGTACATTGTGTGTTATACATGTGAATATATATATTTATATATATGGTATTTACAGTAAGATGCAGATGTTTGTGTTGTGTAGTTCCAGGACACACAGAGCTGCCTGAGGACCCCCTTCCTTCTGCTCTATGCTGCTGTAGACGCCTCGGCCCGGAGCTGTGTGTGTGTGTGAAAGGGGACCCCGCCCGCCTCCATGGCTCACTCGTCAGACCCGTCCCGCAGGGAGAAGACCCCCGGCCCACAGGGGTCGCACACCGCCACACGCAACCTCTTGCGGAAGAAGGAGCAGCGGCGGCGTGGAATCCGATCCTCCTCGCCCATGGGCCGGGTCATCCTCATCAACTCCCCTGTGGACGGTGAGGAGCAGCTGTGTGTGGTGAACATCACAGACGACTTGAGTCCCGTTTATTACTTTATTACTCCTGTTTTAAAATGAGGATCTGGATTAAGCACATTTTGAAAGGATGCTTTTACTCATATGTTGTAATGAGTCATCAGTGAATCTCAATCTTCTTCTCACTGGTTTAAAGACTAAATGAAACATCTTCATACACGAATCAGTAAATAATTGATTAAAGACAGATACAGAGCATGAAGCCATAGACAACTGTTGTTTCAAAAGACATCAGTGTTCCCTCCATCGTAAATAAAAACAAATACGTAAATGGCTTCATCATTAAAATGTGACATCTTGTTTCTGATTGGATGTTCAGTTCCAGTGTCTTTTTAAAACCTGGAGATTAAAAGGAAGTAAAAGCAAAGTTTAAAGCTTGAGATGAATTAAAAACAACATCATAAGTTTTGAGCCGAACTTTTCTGTAAATCCTTTGAAACGTAGAGAGATAAGATGTCTGAGAAGTTGTGGCGTGATGTTTTCAGGTGGAGATGACAGCGAGGACCTCCACACCATCACTGTGGATAAGAGTGTGGATGGGAAGCTCGGCTTCAGCGTGCGCGGAGGCTCCGAACACGGCCTCAGCATCTTCGTCAGTAAGGTGGAGGACCACAGCACAGCGGGTGAGAGGAAGTACCGCGTTCTTGAAACGAGGCTCTGACGATGTGTTGTTAACGGAGTTCTCTCTCTGTTGATTTAGAGGAAGCGGGTCTGCTCGTAGGAGACAAACTGGTGGAGGTGAATGGCATCAGCCTGGAGAGCATCACCATGAGCAGCGCCGTGAAGGTCCTGACAGGAAACAACCGGCTGAGGATGGTGGTGAGACGAGTCGGCAAAGTCCCCGGCATTCGCTACTCCAAAGAGAAGACTACCTGGTGACACAGGATTTAAGAAGCGTCGTCGGATTGTGACCGAGTGTGGTGAAGTGGATCATCGTCGCTGAGTCCTGTTTCTTTTTTCCAGGGTGGACTTGATTCACAGGCGTATGGTGGTGGAGGAGAGCGGGAGGACGCCGTCGGAGGCCAGCTCCGGCAGCGCCCTCCGGAGGATTGTGCACCTCTACACCACCTCAGATGACTACTGCCTCGGCTTTAACATCCGGGGGGGGAAGGAGTTTGGTCTGGGAATCTACGTCTCTAAGTAGGTGTCTCTGCTGCCCAAACGTTTTCACCAGAGAATCGTTCATGGATCTATCACTCATATTCAGGGGGACTGATATTTGTGCAGATCCAAATACAAACCCTGCTTTCAGCTCATTTTTAGTTTTTGTCTCGTTGTCTCAGACTGGATCCCGGTGGACTGGCTGAGCAGAACGGAATAAAGATGGGGGACCAGATCCTGGCGGCCAACGGCGTGAGCTTTGAGGACATCAGCCACAGCAGCGCGGTGGAGGTGCTGAAGAGCCACACACACGTCATGCTGACCATCAAGGTGAGATTGAGGATGTGCAACCTTTTTTCACAGTCGACACGATGCTCCACCGGGGAGGTTAGGATTTTGTCTGAGTTAGAACTTTCTCTCCTGCCACGCTTTGGCGCCTTCGCACGTTGTGTAGACATTTTGGACAGCACGTAAAAGTAATGACATCATCCCCAGCGAGCGGCGCCAGTGGCCTTTCTGGTACAAAAAGATTGAATGTTCTTATGAGAGATGTCTGTTTGTTTTAATTTCAACTTCCTGGACACGTGGCGCACAAAGAAGTTTGAAAGAAAACAATCTGACGAGCACTCTTGTACCATGAAGTTAATTTCTGTCTTCGTTTGATCTAACAGTTGAAATGAGTTGAATGTGTTGAACAAGTTGTATCACGCTCCATAATGACTTTGTCTTTCATCACGGCCTCTATTCAATGACCCGACATGCGTTAGCTCTCTGACCCGCTCCCCTTCCTCTCCTCTTCACTTCCCCTCACACACGAGAAAACCTGAACACTGACTTCACGCGTCGCTGCACAGTGGCTGGAGCGGCGGCGGTTTGTGTGGCAGGCCCGACAGCTGGCGTGCAGTCGTAATATTCCTCGCTCACTTCACTCGTCGGAGCTTGGGTTTCACACGGAGAAAAATAGCCAGGGCGTGTGCATTATTCACCAGGCGGCCGGGATCAGGTGCTGATCGAAGCGCGGAGCCAGTGTTTCGTGCACGTTACGTTTCGGCATCCCTCGCTGCGCCGCGTGGAAACTGAGCCGGGGGGCCGGAGTTAGAAAGCATCGCAACTGTCAGAGGTTACTAGAAAGTCAGGAAGGGAAACATGCTTGGGAGGAGATGATGGTGTATGATGTGTTCATCTCGAGTTACTCTTTATCAAATACAGTCGTCCCATAAAAGTTTCAAGCTCTCCACTGTATCTCATTTGCATATCTGCGGCCATATCTTGACAGGAAGCAGGACGATACCCTGCTTATAAGGAGATGGTGG